TACTTTTTAAAGAAGTCTCTTCTGCTCATCAAGCCTGCATTTATTTGATCAAAAATACAGAAAAAATTTTAATATCGTAAAATATTATTACAATTGAAATAACAGTGTTCTATTTTAATGTACTTTAAACTGTAATTTATTTCTGTGATTAAAGCTGAATTTTCAGCATCATTACTCCAGTCTTCAGTGTCACGTGATCTTCAGAAATCATTCTAATATGCTGATTTATTATCAATGCTGGAAACCGTTTTGCTGCATAATGTTTTTTTGGAACCTGTGATACAAGAATGTGATACGTTTTACAGGATTCTTTGATGAATAAAGTTCAAAAGAACAGCATTTATTTAAACTATATTGCAATAATATTTCACAATTTTACAGTTTTTTTTCTGTATTTCTGATCAAATAAATGCAGCCCTGATTAGCATAAGAGACTTCTTTAAAAAACATGAAAATGCTTACTGATCCCAAACTTTTGAACAGCAGTGTATATATATATATATATATTTGTGACCCTGGAGCACAAAAGCAGTCTTTAGTCTCTGGGGTATATTTGTAGCAATAGCCAAAAATACATTGTATGGGTCAAAATTATAGATTTTTCCTTTATGCCAAAAATCATTAGGATATTAAGTAAAGATCATGTTCCATGAAGATATTTTGTACACTTATGACTGGTTTTGTGGTCCAGGGTCACATATATATATATATATATATATATGTTTCTTATAGATTCCAGATCTGCACATTTATTTTCTCAACCAGCATAATGAGATGCTAACAAATTGTTTTAAGTAATGAAAGCAAATTCAGTCAAGTGTGCCCAGGCTTTTGACTGCGAGCGATGTGTCTGTAGTCAACATAAAAGGATACACAGTTATTTCTGTGCACGGCTGCATTGAGCTTGAGTATATCCTGCTCAGAGCTTTGATTAATGTAATTGGGTCGCTGTGGTGTTGTTGTGTCTTTGAATCTTGGATTCAGACGCTGGATCTGTGGCATGCAGTGCTCTGACAGCATACCTTCACCTCAGACAGGTGTTTGTTCCCACAGAGAGCGGTCAGGGGAGTTTAACAGGTGTAGACTCAACCCTCTTCTCTCTCTCTCTCTCTCTCTCTCTCTCTCTGTACTTCTGTTTTAGTCTCACTCGTACAGGTGATGTGAGAAGCGTGCAGGGCTTCTTATAAATGTAGGTTTAGAGGGTTTAGAGGACCCTCAGGATTTATATTAAAGCTCTAAGTGTCATGCAGAGGAGGGTTGTTTTAGCTAAGACGTCATGACCTGGACAAACCCCCTGACCCTTCTCCGGCACGGCTGGACGAGGCACTGGAACCCAGACAGACCCGTCAGGACGGTGGTCTCCAACTTACCTTTCGAAGATCTGAAGAAACGTGAGCAGCCGAACCGCCGGTATGAGGGCAACGCCATCAAAACCAACAAATACAGACTGTGGTCTTTCATCCCCATGAACTTATTCGAGCAGTTCCACCGTATGGCCAACATTTACTTCGTGGGCCTGGCCATCTTGAATTTTGTCCCGGTGGTGAACGCGTTCCAGCCGGAGGTGGCTCTCATTCCCATATGTGTCATCCTGGCACTGACCACTGTTAAAGACGGTTGGGAGGACTTCCGGAGATATCAGACTGACCAACAGCTCAACAACACACCCTGCTTCATATTCAACAGGTAAACAGATCACAACTGGAAAACTAACATAAATGATTCACACTATTAAAATAATCGTTGTAAATCTAAAATATATTGTCGGTTTCACATGTTGGTTTAGTGCAGTGGTTCTCAACCTTTATGACCTGAAGGCCCCCAGATGTCCCCCAAACACAATATTTGAAGCCCCTGCCTATATGTTAATTTCCAATATTTCTGCTGTAATTATGATAAATCTGCTTGTTTTCAAACTGTTTTTTTTTATTAATGTGGTCAAATAATATGGAAATTATGTTCTGTATTGTATTCCAGAACTGTACTGTTCTTCAGTAAAAGCAATAGTTATTCAGGGAAAATAAAAGAAATATGATTTTAGTTTACATCTTGATTTTATACATTTCTTAGAATTTTAATTTAGATGTTAATTTAATTTAGACTTTATTTTTTAATTTGGCAATTTTAATATATTAATAATAATTTATAATTAATTAATTAATAATTAAATAATTAATAATAATTAATAATTGCAATACTTTAAAAAACCCTCTCATTGAGAACCACTGTTTTAGTGTGATTAATTTAAAATTAATGTGTGATTAATAATTAATAATAATTGAAATTAAAAAAAATTGTCTCTGTCTATTTTTGACCTAGAAATAACATTTGTGGGGGAGATTTTTTTTCCTTTTGAAGAGCTGCACAATGTCTTGCATCCGACGCATTGAGTGCATTTTGACGAGATCCTCATCATCGTGTTTCATCAGAGGAGTAGACAGAGAAGGCATCGTTTAGATCTATTTTAAAATGACTGAATAGCTGGTGGGAAAAAAACGAGTAATTCACCACACTTGAGAGGTGGAAGGACTGAGAGACTAGGGGTTAGAGAGAGAGAGAGAGAGATTTCGCAGCAGTCACAGGTACACCCTGAGATATATTTTTACTTCCAAAAGAGATTCCAAATCCATCACTTATTGCCATGGTTACTTAGTCTCTTTCATTTTATTTTGAGCTAAGCCGCTGCTCCGTTTTGTGATTCCCGGAGTGTTTCTATACGGGGAGCCCAGGTGGCACAGGGTCAGTCCGAAACTCAAACCTACTGCTGTCCTGACATGCCTGTCGTGCCCAGAGGGGCTATTAGAAAAGCTACCTCTTTTGCACATTTCTATTATTCACAGTGTGTGTTTGCTGTTGTTTTAAGCATGTCTCAGTTTTGGACAGCTGGGTTATATTTAGCCAGACGTAACAGGCATAATGTCAACATGAAATGTTGAATGTGTTTGTTTTTTGACCTTATTTATTTATTTTCTTAATGCTTGTTTCTGGTCTTATTGTATTATTTAGTGCATGTTATCCCAAAGAAAAGACATGTTTTGTCTTCATAATCTTTTATTAAAATGTAATGCCTTGTGGAGTGGCATTATAGTGGATGTACAGGAGCACTTTGTGGCTTAAATATAGGTTGTGCTCATACAGATGCAGATGCACTCTTAAAAATAAAGGTTCCTTATTGGCTTTGATGGTTCAATGAAGAACCTTTAAAGTCCATTAAATCTTTCCATTGTTTTTAAATTTAGAACGCAAAATTCCAATTTAGAAAAATTAATTTCCAATTTAGAAATTTAGAACCCAAAATTTCTTCTGTGGCACCACTGAAAAAAAGTTTTTGACTTTAACGAAACCGGTTTATTTAGGTATTGCCATTTTTAGGTTACAATTTCAATGCACATTTCTGTAATATATTTTGTGTGCACTAAAGGAATAGTTTCCCAAAAATGGAAATTTGCTGAAAAATCACTCACCCTTGAAATATCCAAGATGTAAATGAGTTTGTTTCTTCATCGGAACAGATTTTGAAAAATTTTGCATTACGTATGAATCCTTTGCAGTGAATGGGTGCCGTCAGAATCAAAGTCCAGAGATCTGATAAAAACATCACAATAATCCACAAGTAATCCACACCACTCCAGTCCATCAGTTAACATCTGGAGAAGACAAAAGATGTGCGTTTGTAAGAAGTAAATCCATCATTAGGGCATTTTAACTTTAATCCATAACTTCTGGCTAAAATGCTTTCACTGGAGAAAGCAATATTATAGATAGAGGGCTTATATTTTAGCTGGAAACAACAATTTGAAGTTGAACACGTCTTAATGACAGATTTGTTTCTTACAAACATGCAAGCTTTTGTCTTCTTCAGATGTTAACTGATGGACTGGAGTGCTGTGGATTACTTGTGGATTATTGTGATGTTTTTATCAGCTGTTTGGACTCTCATTCTGACGGCACCCATTCACTGCAGAGGATCCATATTTAGTGATACATTTTCCCAAATATGTTCATGTGAAGAAAAAAACTCATCTACATCTTGGATATCTTGAGGGTGAGTACATTTTCAGCTAATTTCTTTTTTTGTGTAACTATTCCTTTAAGAGTGCACACAAAATTCATAATTTGTCCAGAAATGTGTGCAGAAATGGTAACCTAAAAAAGGTAACAAGTAAACATCAATAACATTATCTAACATCACTGAATCAACCTAAATGCATTATTTATATCAAACAAAACTAGTTTTATAGTTTAAATTAAGTATAAGTAGTTATTTAAAGTAACAACTGCAGTATAACACTTTTTACAGTGTGAGTGGAAGAATTATGATTTGGGATATTCTTACAGTATGTGCCGTTGTGGAAGGTATTACTGTATGTAGAATCCTGAAATTTCAGGCCTTCACTGCTTGCTTTGAGATCGTAGTCAATGCTTTTTGAGGCAGGGAGCACAATGCAGTCCTCCAACTTCCTCTGCTGATCTGTGGAGTTGCCAATCCACAGTTTGATTGAAAAAGTTAATACACTTTTAATAGAACTGAAGCCTTTCGTTCTTTGATACCGCAAAACTTTTTGAGCTGTCATAGGAAGAAGAGCCTTTGGTGAGCTTTTTTGATGATGTAAGTTCTTTCGTTTCAGCACAAGGTTGTTAGCGCAGCACTATTGAGTTAGAGAGGAGACCTCATTCCTGCAACCCTATCTGTGATCAGATCAACCAGTGTAGTGTTTAGTTGGCATGATTGTGTTAAATAGCATATGAGGTACAGAGAACAGCTGCATAGGTATCAGTTTCTTCCAGCTGTTGAATATTCTGTTTCATTTGGAATTACTTCCCTTATTTTTCAATGTTGAAGTAAGCCATTTCATGTGAACATGCAAGATATTTGATTCATTAGGCACTATAGGTAGTGATGGGCGCCTTCGGAGTACCGTTCTTTAAGCTTCGACACCTTTGCAATTCTTTTGTTTTGTAGTAGTTCAGATTGCGTATTCAACTGCTAATTTCACATGATTTCAGTACACAAAGCTTTGTTACATCATTTTCAGAATTTCAATGGTTCATAGCTAGGGGGCAGTTAACCCTTAAACCTGTGTCTAAATATTTTTTACATTATCTTGGATCAGTTTTGTTATGTAGACATTTCAATAGCATGTTTGTTTGGTAATTAAAAAGGAAGAGCAGTAGTAAATTGTCTCTTATTGGTAGGACTAGCCAAGCCCTCTATAAAACATATAAAACAAGCACTACAGATTATTAAAAGAACACGTATTACACAGACACCTCATATTTAATGGTATTTGATGATTTGTAGATTACATTTAATAGATGAAACATTTGAGAAAACATTTGTAGTTGGTTTGTAAAAGATGTGCGCAACATTTAGGTTTATTATTATGATAATAAATGTAAATAATTATAAGTCTTTATGGGTGAGGCACTGAATCTTTCATTTAACCGATTCTTTCAAAAACGGATTCATACGACTGAGTCATTGAATAATTGACGTAACCAGTTTGCTGATGTCATTTAACCGATTTGTTCAAAAAAATTTGATTCATATGAGTGAGTCACTGAATAATTGACTTAACCAGTTTTCTGATGTCATTTAACCGATTTGTTAAAAAAAAATCTGATTCATATGAGTGAGTCATTGAATAACTGACTTAACCAGTTTTCTGATGTCATTTAACCGATTTGTAAAAAAACAATGAAAAAATAATAATCTGATTCATACGAGTGAGTCATTGAATAATTGATTAACGAGTTTTCTGATGCCATTTAACTGATTTGTTCAAAAAAATCTGATTCATATGAGTGAGTCATTGAATAACTGACTTAACCAGTTTTCTGATGTCATTTAACCAATTTGTAAAAAAAAAATCTGATTCATATGAGTGAGTCATTGAATAATCGCCTTAACCAGTTTTCTGATGTCATTTAACAGATTTGTTCAAAAACTCTGATTCATATGAGTCATTGAATAATTGACTTAACCAGTTTTCTGATGTCATTTAACCGATTTGTAAAAAAAAAAATCAGATTCATACGAGTGAGTCATTGAATAATTGATTTAACCAGTTTTCTGATGTCATTTAACCAATTTGTAAAAAAACAATGAAAAAATAATAATCTGATTCATACGAGTGAGTCATAGAATAATTGACTTAACCAGTTTTCTGATGTCATTTAACCGATTTGTTCAAAAACTGATTCATACGAGTGAGTCATTGAATAATTGACGTAACCAGTTTGCTGATGTTATTTAACCGATTTGTTCGAAAACTCTGATTCATATGATTGAGTCATTGAATAATTGACTTAACCAGTTTTCTGATGTCATTTAACCGATTTGTTCAAAAACTGATTCATATGAGTGAGTCGTTGAATAATTGACTTAACCAGTTTTCTGATGTCATTTAGCCGATTTGTTAAAAAAAATCTGATTCATATGAGTGAGTCATTGAATAACTGACTTAACCAGTTTTCTGATGTCATTTAACAGATTTGTTCAAAAACTCTGATTCATATGAGTCATTGAATAATTGACTTAACCAGTGTTCTGATGTCATTTAACCGATTTGTAAAAAAAAATAAAATCAGATTCATACGAGTGAGTCATTGAATAATTGACGTAACCAGTTTGCTGATGTCATTTAACCGATTTGTTCAAAAACTGATTCATATGAGTGAGTCGT